AGGCCTTCTTCCGCTGGGTTGCGTGCCTTGCGGAGCGAACCCCAGAGACGCCTTGCCCGGCCGAGACGATCGCCGGCCTCGCGATCTGCAATTGGACTCTTTCCCGGCGCCCCGAGGTGCTTTTTCCTGCTGATGCTGTGAAGAGGGCAGGGCGAATGGGCGGGCCGGCAGGGCCGCAGAGGGGACAGGGACAGCCAGGCGTCTCAATCCCCCCCCCCACGCGCGCAGCTCCTTCGTGGGATTCCCCGTCGGGCGGAAGAGCAGCGGCTGCCTGAATGCCTGGATTCCCCGGCGGGGGGGGGGGAAGGAAGCATTTCCAGGGCAACAGAATCCTTGTTTTATTGGCATAGCAACCGCCAGCTGGGTTCCGGCATAACTGCTCCGCTCCTCCCGCCCTGCCCCGCGCCCCACAGCAGCTCTGTGAAGCTTTGGGGAAAGGAGGCCAGCCTGGGGAGGGCAGCAGAGACCGCCCTGAGAAGGTCCAGAGGGAGCTCCGAGGTGCTGAACTCGGCCTGGGATTCTTGGTTAGGTCCAGGATAGCATTTCCACTTGCTCTTTCTTCCACCAAATGAAGTTGTCAGCAAGGGAGGACCAGGATGCCCGGATAATTGCCCCGTTCCCCTAATTTAATTATAAATACGTCAAACAGCGCAAGGCCTAAAATGGAGCCCTGCAATTCATCACTTCCTTTCAATCAGATCTGCAGCCTTTAATAAGCCCTGGTTGGATTTGATCTCTCCACAGGCTCTATCCATGTAATGGTAGTGTAGGCCAGGTTTTTTCAACTTTTTCACCCATTGTACCACTTTTAGGATATGGCAACATCCGAGTACCACCAGTCGCCTAGCAAGGTGTCAAAAACTTGATGACCCCCTCCCCAAAAAAGGAAAAAAGTGATAAAGTACAGGTAGTCCTCGACTTACAACAGTTCGCTTAGTGACTGTTCAAAGTTATACAATAGCACTGAAAAAAGTGCCCCCCAAGCCACAGCCAAGCAAGACACCTGCCTGCCCGCCCGGCCGCGCTCTTCCTTCTGTTCGAGGTTTTCATTGTTGTGAGCATTTCTGTTGAGGATTGGCAGCGGGGGTGGGGTGGGGGGTGTTCGATTTTTATTCCCCCCGTCTGCTGGGTGGTTGCAGCAGGTTTTGGTCACTTCACATGACCCTGGGACACTGTGACCATCATAAATATGAATCAGTTGCCAAGAATCTGAATGTAAATCACAAGACCCTGGAGATGCTGCAATATTCCAGCTGATCAACGCTTCTTCTGGGCTCAGCAGAAGTGCCAGGATCAGCGCCGAGCTCCAGCTGGAGCCTGACGCTGATCCTGGCGCTTCCACTGAGCCCTGACAGTCCTGCAGCTCCAGCCATCTCTCGCTCAGGCTTGTGGGGTGCTGCCACCGGTTCAGCTCATTCCTCTCCCCTGCTCCCACTTTTCTAGGATGGTCATATGCCACCTGCCAGGTGCCAATGTACCACAGGTGGTACCCGTAACACTGGTTGAAAAGCCCTGGTGTAGGCCAGCCACAGGTTGCCTTTTTCTTCACCAGGATTTCATTGATATTTGTCAAATGTTTTGCTGAAGTCAAGGTACATAATATCCACCACATTCCCATAATCAACTAAATCAGACGGTGTGTCAAAAAATATCAGATTGATTTGGGGTCACCCCAAACCTTTGATGCTCCTACTAAGCACTAAAATATGATGGGTCTGAGATGGCCCCAGGAGCTCCTTTGAGACTCCTGGACAACCTGGCTTAGAGAGTTCAACTCACCCAGGCTCTCTCTGTCTCTCTCTCTCTGCCTCTCTCCCACCCTCTTGTCTCCTGGTCCCTGCTGGTGATTCTGCCCAGCTCCATCTGGAGTCTTGGGGGAGAAGATCCAGGGAAGCAGCAGCTCTGCTCTTTGCCTCTTCCTTGTTCATCTCCAACCAGGTCCTCCTGGCAGCAGATCCACTCCTTCCTTGGACCACTGATCCAGCCAACCCCCCCCCCTTTCCTTTCCTTTTATCTTCTCTTGTCAGCATCTCTTCCAGTCGTGCCTCAGATTATCCATTTGCTGGTGCACCTCCATGGTGCACCAAATGGGCTACAAGAGGAAACAGGAGGAAGAGCCTCAACCTAGTTAACGATCAGATGAAAAATAAAATGTGTCCAAAGCAGAAATGAAATTTAAGGAAGGAGGTGGATTCAGCCTTGCAAGGTTCTGTTACTGTAACTTTGTAATAAAAGTAATGTAAGTCCTAAACACATCAGAATTTCCTGAGATTTCATCACCTGTTCCTGCTTCCTGTTCCTGTTGTACCAATTAGGGGCGGGATATATTTCCCATAAAGACCCCCACTCACCGATGCTACTTTAGGTTGGGAAAGTTTTATGGGCTCCAAAATTTTGCCAACCTCAACTAATGAGGACGGGGGGGGGGACATTCAGTAAAAGAATCTGCAAGAGGTAGATCTAAGGAAGGGGCGATCCACTAGATTCCCTTCTCCCGTTCTATTTGCTTCCACCCCAAATAGTGAGTGGCTCTACCAGAGAAGTTCCAGTTGACGGTGAAGCCAAAGGTGGGCTGGGGCTCCGGGTGCTGGATGCCCTGCAGCAGGGATGGCCGGATGGTATTGTCAGAGACCGAGACTGCCGTTTAGTAGAGGCCGCTGAATACCATGGTGGAGTTGAGGTCATTCTTCCAGGTGCCGGTCAGGGAGGACTAAAGGAGAGCGGGAGGGGGTAGAGACTTTGAATCCATTTTCTTCGTGAGATCTGAAAACACCCGTTACTCCCACGTGCCCGACTCCCAGGCTGCCCACGCCAGGTGGGGCTGGCAAAGGCGGCGCATTGCACAGTTCGTCGGTGGAGGCGCCTGCCAGACCGCATCCGGGAGGACACCCCGCGGGCGGATCGCTCTGCCATCTGCGCAGCGAGAGAGAGCACCCGCCCCGGCGGCAGGCTGCCGAAGTCGCGGCCGAGCACGGAGGAGAAAACGCTTGACCGGTCGGCCGTCGTGGACCCAGGGCCTCTGGCGCTCAACGCGACAGCACCGGGTGCGATCAACCCCGAGGAAGCAGCACCCTCTGCGCAACCCGCCGGCTCCCACCAGCTGCTCCTCCCGCCCACCCGAGCAGAGGCTGGTGGCGGGGTTTTTTCCCGGGGGAGGCTGGGAGCCTCTGTCCGCCACCCCGCATCTGACCTTGGCGGCTCGCTCCGAGTTTTGGGGTTTGGCAAAGATTCCGGAGCAGCCGAGCAGGAAAGCGAGGAGCCCCAGAGCTGCCAGGCCTATCGCCATGGTGGCCTCCAGGAATCTAGGCGTTTGAATCCCAGGCGGGACGCCCCTTATAAAGCCCCGCTCGCACCGCCTCCCTCCACCGCCCTCGACTGGGAGGGGCAGGATCCCCGCCCGAGGGGCGGACGCTTCTGAGAAATCGCTGGCCTTCTGCGAGCGCTGAGCAGCACTTCGGCAGCAAGGGGGAGGGGACGGGGGCACTTCTTCTCTGGCACTCTACCGCCGCTGACCCAACACGGGCACACTTACTCGGCTGGCTCTCCACCAGCGCTCCTCTCCCGCCATTGGTCCTCCAGCGCTCCAACCCGGCCCCTTCCTCCCGGCCGTTTCACGGAGGGACACTTTTCTAGGGCTATTTGGCTGCGTGGGACATTTAAACTCTCATCCGGGCAGCCAATCCCCACGCCAAGGAGTGGGGAGCCTGGGCCACAGATTGCGGGGAAGCATGCTTTGATGTACAGGTAAGGAGAGGAGGAAAAAAAGCAGTCGGGGGGGGGGGCTGCCACCCCTGCCCCCATAATGATGTAGTTAATTATAATCTGATCAGGCTTCGCTGCATGGCTGCACACACACCCCTCCCCGTACGTCGTCCTGGTGCCTTTGGAGCGAAAGCGTCCGCGCGCGCGCGCGCGTGTGTGTGTGTGAGTGAGTGAGAGAGATGGGGACGGAGGGAGAGAGAACTCCCCCCCCTTTTTGTAAGTTTGCTTGCTCCCTCTGCGAGGCTCTCCGTTCCCCACACTTTTGCTGGCCGGCACCTCGCCTTCCTCCTCTTCCCTTTCCCCCCTGGCTCGCCTTCCTGTGCCCGAGGCGGCCTTCGCGTTGGTGTGCGAATTGGCAGCCCGGAAGCTCCTTTAAATGTCCCCTGCAGCCGAATAGCCCTGGAAAACGCCCGGGAGCAAGGGGCGGGGCTAGAAAGCCCGCCTGTGGTTAGACGCGGGGCGGCGCCAGAGAAAAAGTGGGCGCGTGAAGGCAGCCGGGTTCACTCGTCCCATTCCGGCCCGGGAAATATTTCTCCGTTTCTGGCGAAAACCGTCGCTCTACGGGGCGAAGAGCTGCTGCGCTTAAAATAAAATAATTTCTTGGGGTATTTTTTGACATCCTAATGTGGGGCTTTTTGCCTCTGGACCTTTAAGCAAAATGCCATGTTACTTTTTCTTGTTCCTCTAATGGCCCCACTTGCAAAATTCTTGATTGCAAATCCAATTCTTATAACTGAGCCGTTTGTGGCCAACCTCTTTGGCTTCTTCAGGTAAGTAGTGTCTTACAGATGCTAGCTAACTGCTGGTTCTAACAATGACTCTATCAAGCAAAGTTTAGGCCAATTTATTAACATGAACTAGGTCTGGGTGAAGCTAATTCATGGCTCCTTTGCACAAACCCTTTAATAATTTCCTAATAAAATAATAGTCCGATCCTCAGTGGATTAGCTGCAGTTTCCAAATGTCTGTTTAAAGTGCAGAGCAGTATGGAGAGACAAGTAGAGACTCTGTACCCCAGAGTTAGCTTTGAGCGCCCCCTCCAGGTGGGGGTCCTACCCAGCCTCTCCTGGAAACCTTCAGACTGGCACCCAGGGAGCTTCTGAAAGACCAGGGAGGCGGAGGCTGCTCAGGCAAACATTTTATTGGAGAAGAGTGTCTGATGGGAGAGGCAGGAAGGGTCACCCCCCCCCATGCCCCCCCAAGGCAGAAACCATGGAAGGCTGGCTCTCTTCCCCCTCTCATTTGATGCGGTAGAAGGTGTCTGTGCCAACGCTACAATGAAGCAGGAGGAAGGGAAATGTCAAATTCATTCATCCCTACCCATTCCCTCCTTCCACCCACTCACATGATAATAAAAATGGGGGGGGGCAAAGGAAATGGACTCTGCTGGTTCTTGGGGGTGGCCAGGGCCAGGTAGATCCCCAACCATGCATTGCAGGCCACATCTGATGACGGGAATGACACTGACCCAGAGCAGGCTGGGCGAATTCTCCTGGGCCTTTGGGGGCCTCCCTTGAAGCAGCTCCATCCAGGTGGCCAAAAAGGTGGCCTCTTTGGAGGAGAGCAGAAGAGCTGCAGGCCTTGAGCTCAGGGAAGGCAGACAGGAGGCCTCTTTGCCCCATAAAAATATGGGGTCTGTGCTGGGCTACTGCTCAGAGCAATTTATGCCAACTGTCCAAATGTTGCCAGCTGTGGGCAACCCAGACTATGGTGCCACCCCAACCACACTTGTCAGTGAGAACGACCTGGGGAAGCTCCTCAAAAGCTTTGCTGTGTTTCTTTGTGGGGGAAACGGAGTCTCCAGCCTCTCCCGCAGGAGCTGCTCAGCCCTGGGTGCGGAAACATCCCGAGAGAGGCAAACCCGTTTGGGGCGTCCTTTCAAGAACCACTTTGGGCGGGGGGGTGGGGGAAGAGAGAGAAAAAGAGATGTGCCCAGGGCCCTTCCAGTTAGGGGGCACAGCAGTTCAGTCCCTGTTTTTCCTTACCGGGTCGCCCCCCAATCCTCTGCTGTGGATCCCATCTTTGCACGCAACAGCCAGGTTGTCTTCAGCAGCTCCTTTCCGTTCTCGTCCACCAGACACTGGCCCGCAAAGACTGCGGTGGAGCCTGAGGGAGGAATCGCCAGAGATTCACGGGCAGGTCAAAGCTGTTGTACCAATTGGGGGGGGGGATATATTTCCCATAAGGACCCCCACTCACCCGATGCTACTTTAGGTTGGGAAAGATTTATGGGCTTGAAAAACTTTGGGCAGCTCCAGCTGATGCGAGGTGGGTGAGTGGGAGGGGGGACATTCAGTGAAAGAACCTGCAAGAGGCAGATCTAAGGAAGGGGAGATTCCCTCCTCCCGTTCTGTTTGCTTCCACACCAAATAGTGAGTGGCTCTACCATCGAAGCTCCAGTTGACGGTGAAGCCAAAGACGGGCAGGTCCCCCAGGTGCTGGACACCCACAAGCGGGGATGGCCGGATGAGCAGGCCAGAGTCCGAGACTGCCGTTTTGTAGACGCCGCTGAACACCCCCGTGTTACTGACGCTGTTGATCTCCATGGTGGAGGTGAGGTCATTCTTCCAGCTGCCGGTCAGGGAGCACTAAAGGAGAGCGAGAGGGGGGAGGAAAGCGGGTCATCGCGCTAGCCAAGCCCAGCTGTCCAAAAGGTAGAGACTCTGGCTCCATTTTCTCCGGGGGATCTGAAAACACCCGCTAGTCCCACGTGCCCGACCCCCAAGGTTGCCCACGCCGGGTGGGGCTGGCAAAGGCGGCGCATCCCAAAGTCCGTCGGTGGAGGCGCCTGCCAGACCGCGTCCGGGACGACACCCCGCGGGCGGATCGCTCTGTCATCTGCGCAGCGAGCCAGAACGTCAGCCCCGGCGGCAGGCTGCCGAAGTCGCGGCCGAGCACGGAGGAGGAAACGCTGGGCGTCCATCCGTCGCGGACCCAGGGCCTCTGGCGCTCAGCGCGACGGCACCGGGTGCGGTCAACCCCGAGGAAGCAGCACCCTCTGCGCAGCCCGCCGGCTCCCACCAGGCCAGCTGCTCCTGCCGCCCACCCGAGCAGAGGCTGGTAGCAGGGGGTTTTCCCGGGGGAAGCTGGGACCCTCCGCCCGCCACCCCGCATCTGACCTTGGCGGCTCGCTCCGAGTTTTGAGTTTCGGCAAAGGATCCCGAGAAGCCGAGCAGGAAAGCGAGGAGACCCAGAGCTGCCAGGCCAATCGCCATGGTGGACTCCAGGAATCTAGACGTGCCAGCCCCAGGCGAGACGCCCCTTATAAAGCCCCGCTCGCACCCGCTCTCCCCCCCTTGAGCTGCCACCTCCCTCCACCACCCCCCGCGGCTGGGAGGGGCAGGATCCCCGCCCGAGGGGCGGACGCTTCTGAGAAATCTCTGGCCTTCCCCGAGCGCTGAGTAGCACTTCGGCAGCAAGGGGGGCGGGGGGCACTTTTTCTCGGGCACCCCACCGCCTCTGACCCAACACGGGCACTCTTACTCGGCTGGCTCTCCACCAGCGCTCCTCTCCCGCCATTTGTCCGCCAGCGCTCCATCCTCGCCCCTTCCTCCCGGCCGTTTCACGGAGGGACACTTTTCTAGGGCTATTTGGCTGCGTGGGACATTTAAACGCGCATCCGGGCAGCCAATCCTCACGCCAAGAGGTGGAGAGCCTGGGGCACAGGATGCGGGGGAGCTTGCTTTGATGTGCACGCCAGGAGAGGAGAAAAAAAAGCAGTCGAGGGGGAGGGAATCTGGGTGAGGGCTTTTCCTTTCACAGCCTTTCAGGAGGCTGCCCGCCCCATAATGGCATGGTTAATAACAACCCGATAAGGTTCGCTGCATGGCTGCACTCACACACCCCCTTCGTCCAGAGAAAGCGAGAGAAGGGGGAGAAACCACTGTGTGTGTGTGTGTGTGTGAGAGAGAGAGAGGGAGGGAGGAAGAGGGCTCCCCTTTTTGTAAGTTTGCTTGCTCCGTCTGCGAAGCTCTCCATTCCCCACACTTTTCCTGGCTAGCACCTCGCCTTCTTCCTCTTCCCTTTGCCTCCCCTCTCTCTCTCTCTCTCTCTCTCACACACACACACATCTTTCTCCAGGTGCTTTTGGAGAGAAAGAGAGAGAAGGGGGAGAAAGCACTGTGTGTGAGAGAGAGGGAGGGAGGGAGAGAGAGAGATGCCCTTTTTGTAAGTTTGCTTGCTCTGCGAGGCTCTCGGTTCTCCATAGTTCTACAGCCCAGCACCTCACCTTCCTCTTCCTTTTCCCTCCTGGTTCGCTCTTGCGCGCTCTCTCTCTCTCTCAAACACACACATACACACACTCCCACCTTTCTCCCTTTTCCCCTTTCCTTCCAGGGACACCTGGGTGGAGTGGGGGAGGGAGAGAAAGGGGAAGCTCTCTTGCGTCCTTTCACTTTTGGGACGACCTCGCCCTCTCCCCCCTTTCACTCCCCCCAACCTGTCGCAGGACCAGATTCAAATTTCTCGCTTCTTCACCGCTAGGCGAAATACTTGCTTTTCCTCACCTCTCGCATCTCCCCCACTGCTGAAGTTTTTGGGATGCGAAGGCCGTAGAGTCTTCGTTTGTGGTTCCCTGCGGGTGTGGGTGTAAATCACCGGGGGGGGGGCTGTTGAGAGAGCCGGTTTGGAGGGGGAGGGGCTAGAGGGTCTAACCCTTCACTCAAAACTAGCCGGCCTTTTTTGCCCGCTGTCTTGCCTCCGTCTGAGTGCAGGTTCTCCCCTTAAACACCTGCCGTTGAAAGGAATTGGGAACCAGCAGCCATTGTTTCAGCATTGCTGCTTCTCATTAATACTTGTGTGGGAAGTCAGAGGCCCAGAGAAGGAAATATTAAAAGGGCAGAAATATATATTTCCTCAAAAGTATTTTAAAAAGCAGAAACCAACTTCGGCTCCAAATCTCTCTGTCCCAAGCAAGACCTGGCCCCATACAAATGCAGATGTAAAACCACCAGAAGGTTGAAGCCAGAGCAATCAAGAAGACAAGAGAAAATCTGCATGCCCCACCCAAACTCTAGGAGTCATTAGCCCCATCACCTGGGAAGCAGGATATGATAATAGGATTAAACCACAGATATCAAGGTCTAGAAAAACACTCAGAAATAGCCTCAAAGTTCATGCCACAGGAACAGGAAACTATTCCAAACAGGGCTAGAGGGGGTATAAAAAACCTTCTACCCATGCGCTCACTCTCTTTCTTCTCCTCTGCTCCTTCTTGCAAGGACCATCTTTCTTTTGCAATAAACAGTAACCTTCTTCCCAAAGCAGTCGCCATGTTTGCTTATTTATTCCCGGCTTGGATGAACCAGGATGAAGACTTACTTCTAACACTTGGAAGTAAATATGGGCCTTGCAGGATTTGGCAGCCCTGCAGCGAAGCCTGATCGGTTCGTTATTAACCTTGTCGTTATGGCCGGGGGGGGGGGGGGAAGGGAGGGAAGAGACCGCCCCTAAAAGGCTGGGAAGGGCGGCTTTTTTCTCTCCCCTCTCCTTCCGTGCACATCCCCCGCCTTCCTGTGCCCGAGGCGGCCTAGGCCTCGCCGTGCGGATTGGCTGCGCGGATGGGCGTTTAAATATCCCCTGCAGCCAAATAGCCCAGGAAAACGCCCGGGAGCAAGGGGCGGGGTTAGAGCGCCGGCGGACCAATGGCGGGAGAGGCGCGCCGGGAGCGACCCAGCCGAGCGAGAAGACGTGGGCACGTGAGGGCAGCCGGGTTCAGCGGTTCCATTCCAGCCCGGGAAATATTTTTCTCCGTTTCTGGAGAAAACCGCCGCTCTGCGGGGCGAAGGGCGGGGCTGCTGCGCTCAGAGAATCCGCTCCCCGCTGGCTCCCCATCCCCGGTTCCGTTGGCCGCGCTACTCCTCGCCCTTCCCGAAGGGAGGCAAATCCCCCCCTCACCCTCCGCAGTTGCTGCAGTCCACCTGGGAGAGGAGGCGGGGGGGGGGGGCGGCTGGCCATTTCTCCGAAAAAGCCCAGAGCGAGCGAAGGACAGAATGCAAAGCGCCCCCCTGAAGAAAGTTGGCCTGGAAGCGGGAGGTGAGAAAGCGGAGATATTTCCCCCCCCCCATCCGGTGTGTCGGTTGAGGGTCTCAGCCTCCCCTCCTCTTAACGTCGGAATCCGCAGCAGCCTCGCTTTAAAGGCTTTTTCCCTTTCGGTTGACCCTCTTCTCTCGCTTGCTCAAAAGGTCCCAGGAATCGGTTCCTTCCTATTTCTGACCCTCAACCCCCAAAAGTAGAAAGATCTCTCCACTGTTTCTTCCTTGCCCAGCAGGCACCCAATGATCCTTGAGTGGCCACTTCTCCTCGGCCTTGTTCCAGGAGCCACCAAGAACACCAGACTGCTGGTTCCCCACCCCACCCCCATCTAGCCGCTGTCCTCTGGCCAGGTTCTCCTGGGGCAGGCTGGGCAGAGGGAGCAGAGCAGGAAGGCTAGGAACCCAGCCCTCTCCCTCCCTCCCTCCCTGGGCCTTCTCTTCTTTCCGCTAAACATGCCTGGTTCTGGATCTCTGAGGATTTAGCCAAGTCCCCCCCTGCCCCCCCTCATCTCCTTGGGTCTCTGGGTTTGGCCTTGACAATAAGGCTTTTTGTAGATTCAATTAAAAATACATTTTCCAGGTCATTCTCTTGATTTATCCTTTGTATTTTCTTTTTAGCTTTTAAAACTTCAGCCAGGTTGTTTTGAATAGCACCCAGAGTCACTTGACAGTGAGATGGGCAGCGTATAAATTTAATAAATAAATAAAATATCCAGTAGGACATCCTTTTCCAAATTATTCCCTTGGTTTGTCATCAGTAGTTCCACATTCTCTTATTTCCCCTGTTGGGCCATTTCTTCCTCCACTGTGGATTGTATGTCACAATGGAAGAATAAACAGCTATACAATTGCCAGTTTGGGATGCACTTATCAACAGACAAGAAGATGGAAGCCTAGAAACCATGGTTTATTGCAAGGCCACCAGGATTCCACACATTCTGAGCTTCAGCAGTAAGCATCCACTGTCATATAAAAAAATATGTCAAAACACTATACGGCTGGGTGGGAACACACACTGCAGTAACCTGCAAGCAAAACAACTGGTGAGCAGGTACCTATGTGAACAAATCAAGCAGCATGGGTCCCACAAGCATTTATCACAAGATGCCTGCACAATATGCTGGGGAGAGAAAGGAAGAAACAAAGATACAAAACGAACTACATTGCACACCCTGCCATACATTAAAAACATTTCAGAAGCAGTAGAACGTAGTTTCCGAGATCTGCAAGTTCGGGGGGGGGGGCAACAGTCCGTAGCCTGTTGGGAACAGGGCTGTGCAAGTGTGCGAAGGTTCATCTGCGCATGTGTGGGTTGTGCACAAGAAGCCATTCCCAGCTCCCACACATACACACACACACACTGCTACTGCTAATCTGTGAAGACAATTTTTCTTTTGAAACTGGTCCCTGGAGCCAGAGAGGTTGGGGATGGACTGACCGCTGTGCAAGTGGGCATCTCTAAACACCCAGAGGCTAACCATACAAGGCCAAATCATGCATTACAAAGGTTGTTTGGAAGTAGGAGAAACTTTGAAGGTAATTTACCAGACTCCCTGCATGTATTGCCCCTGTGACTATGTAGGACAGATGGGGAGGAAGCTAACCACCAGATTGCAAGAACATGAGGGAGTGGTTAGATGAGGAGACCTGAACTCATTGGTAGCCTCACATGGCAACGAACAAGGAGATGCATTCAGTTTCACAGCTGCTATGATTGTTGGCCACGCAGGAACAAAAATAGCCAGATAAATTATTGAAGCTTGGGAAATGGGCCTCTTGTCAGTGAATAGGAGTGCTGATTTGCCACTGGCCTACCAGCGAGGAGTCACAAGGAAACAGTGACTTAATAACAAGCCACCAAGACCCTAATTAATAACTGAAAGCTACACACAACCAGCAACCATATACATACAATGCATAGAACAGCCCAGGGCACATATTCTGGAGAGAGAGTTCTCTGGGGATGGGCTCCAGCATGACCCTGAAAGCTTGGAAGAATCAGCTTTTGGTCCCAGTGACCGACTCAGATTGGGCCCTGCAACATTATCCTGGGATACCTATATTTGCCTTCGTTCATGATAAAATGTGTTGCTTCCTATCTGTCAAGAACCATGGGGGCACAGGGGTTAGAATGCAGTATTGCAGGCTCTCTGCTGACTGCCAGCAGTTCGATCCTGCCAGCAGTTTGATCCTGACCGGCTCAAGGTTGATTCAGTCTTCCATCCTTCAGAGGTCAGAAAAATTAGGGTAAAATTGTTGGGGGCAATATGCTGACTTTGTAAACCACTTAGAGAGGACTGTAAAGCACCATGAAGCTGTATATAAATCTAAGGGCTATTGCTATTCCTTCAATTACATCTCTTAAAGTCTATCCATAAAAGCAGACATCATTGGAAGACAATATTTCTATTTGGTTTGATCTAGGATGCTCACAGTTTCCCGGATCATCTGTACAACATCTTTTAACAAAATGGACACCCACACAACTTTATCAAAAAGTGCCTGACCACTCAACCTAATATAGTACAACCAACACAAGCCATATGTCAAAAACATCTCAGAAATCAAACAAGCTCAAAGAACAGCAAGGACCCCACAAACAGACATAATTACTGACAGTAATTTTTTTTTTTCAAAGATTTGAAGAATATTTTCTATCATCCTGTAAGATCCAATATTAACTGACATCAGAATTGTATTTTTTTTCTTTCTGCTTAGAATCCTTAAGGATCCAGTTTCCAAAATCCTCACTTATAACAAAAGCAATTGTCATGATGACAAAAATAAATATTTCCCCATGAAAAGTTGCTTATTTTTTTTGAAGTTAATTCCAAAACTTAGTAGTTGTAATAGTCAATATTTCAAATTTATCTGGATTCTTAGTCCTCTTATAACTTACCTAGATCAACATCTTATTTAGATTTTTACTGTTTATTTCAAGTTCTTTTACTTTTTAGGTGTGTAATTGTTCTTTCGGACTGCAAGGCAATCAAACTGGTCAGTCCTGGAGGAGATCAACCCTGACTGCTCTTTAGAAGACCAGAAGATCCTGAAGTTGAAACTCAAGTACTTTGGCCACCTAATGAGAAGGAAGGACTCACTGGAGAAGAGCCTAATGCTGGGAAAGATGGACGGCAATAGAAGAAGGGGACAACAGGGAATGAGGTGGCTGGATGGAGTCCCTGAAGCAGTAGGCGTGAGTAATGGACTCCAGAAGATGGAAGAGGACAGGAAGGCCTGGAGGAACGTTGTCATGGGGTCGCAATGGGTCGGACATGACTTCGCAACTCACAATTGTTCTTTTGTTCAGAGTTGAAGATAAGCTCACCCAATGAAGACTTTTCAATGGTCCTCCTGTGATTTTGCCTACCTAAGTGCAGGACCTTCCTTTCCTCACCACTGAGCTGCATCTTGAGGAACCCCCATTGCATATTTTCCTCCATGTAGGTGCAGGCCCCTTTAAGGGCCATAGGGTGAGTGCAGCTGGTCAGTCAACTGCAGGGTCATCAGGTGGTTGCACTGTCTGTCCCACATTGTCCTGTCTTACCAAGACATAGGCTGTGGTCTACTTCATCAAGTCCCATACTAAAATCTAACTAAACTACATTCACAGCATTTTCTCGGTCCACTAATTTACTCACAATAAGATTGATACTGGAGATGGAAGCTTCCCTTCTCAGACCTGGAAGGCTGTGATGACAAAACAGGAAAGTTTTTTGTGCCAGCTCTACGAAATCCGTGCTTCTCTGCTGTCCATTAAGGCACTGTGATCTGACAGCATCATGGGTTGGCATTACATCATTGTTTATGCTAAAACATCAGGTGGCTTGTGGCCAATGGGATGCAGGAAGAATAGGATGCAGGTTCAGACCCCCAGCATTGGTGAATATGAAGTCAAACTCTGCCAAGGAAAGTCTCCAACTGTTTGGCAGCTAACATCTTCAGGGAAAACCTTGTGGAGGGAGACCCTACTGATGGAGATGGAGTTTTAAGCTATAAGGTACCCAAGGCCAACTCCGGGCAGCTATTGCCCAGGCCGGCTGCGCCCCCGCTGTGGCCGGATCGGGTGCTTCTCCGCCGGCAGGCTTCCCTGCGGGGCCCTCCGGAGACCTGGATGCTCCATGCTCCTGCGCCGACCCGTTCTTTATTCTGAGGCACCGCCGCTCCGGCCGCCAACGGCTCGTCGCTGGTCAAATCGCGGCTTTCCGGGCCTGCAACCTGCGTCGTCGCCGCCGCCGCCTCCACGATCCTCCTCCACGCCGGGCAAGCGCACAACCGGGCGGCTCGGCGGCCCCCAGACCTTGGCAGGGGCGGAGCCTTCCTGCTCCGCGGGTGAGTGAGCGGCGGCTGTGCCGGCCAATGGGCACCCGCGGCCTCCCCGGGCAGCCTCTCGCGCCGGGCCAATCGGGAAGGCGCGGCGCCCGGGCTGCAGCTGGCCCCGACGACGTCATGGCTGCGGCCACTTCTGCGGGTGCCCGAGCGCGGCGGCCCGTCCCGGCGCGGCCTTCTCGGTATGGGCTGCGCGGCTCTCGGGCGGCTCCAGCTGCTGCTCCAGCTGCTCGCCTGGCTTCGCCTGGGGCCCCCGGCCGGTGAGTGCGCGGCGCGGCGGGCGGGGAGGCAGCCCTTGGGCGGGGGGGGGGGGGGGGGGGGGGGGGGGGGGGGGGGGGGGGGGGGGGGGGGGGGGGGGGGGGGGGGGGGGGGGGGGGGGGGGGGGGCGGGCCCGGCGGGAGCTGTCCCGGGCGCCTGGTGCTGAAGGAGCCGCGGAGAGGGGCCGCCGGGAGCCCTTCGACTCGGCGCTCGGAGCTGTCCCCCGCCGCGGTGCTGAAAGCGAGCCGCGCCGACGCGGCAAGACAAGGAAAGCCGCGGCGCTGCGGCGCACAGCAACATCTTCCGCCCAGCTTCGCCGGAGATCGCGCGCCTCTCTGGAACGGGCTGGCCATTTTGCCTCCCGGCGGCCCTGCGCCTGCAAGCAGAACTGCCTTCTCCCTGTACGGCGAGTCCGGCCAAAGACCTTGCGGTGCCAATAGGGAGAGGGTAGGAAGCAGCGGTGGAAGGTCAGCGGAGGCGGGGGTGGGGGTGGGGGGGAGCGAGAACCTCCGAGGCCAAACAGCCCTGGCGCAGGGCCTTAAACGAGGACAAGGAGGCCCTGTGCCTTTCCACCCACCGTGCCTGAATTCTGCCAACTCGTCAGGCAGTTATCTAGTACCTCGGGGGGGGGGGGGAGCACCATTTCCCTTTGGCACTGCCCTCTTTGTCTTCAGCTTCACAGGCCAGGAGTTTTTACTGCCTACCTGCCAACCAATGAAAAGGACTCAGCCTGCTAGAAGCCAGCATGGGTTTCTTAAAAACGGGTTATGCCAGACAAATATTATATCCCTCTTTGATAAAGAGACTAAATTAATGGACCAGCAAAATTCTGTGGACAAAGTATACTTCGACTTCAGTACGGCATTTGACAAAGTAGACCACAGCCTACTTCTTGGCAAGATAGAACAATGTGGGATAGACATAGCATCACCACCAGATGGATTCACAATTGGCTGCAGTCAGTTGGTTCAAGCGCTGGGCCTAAGACAGAAGCAGTGCAAGCAATGTGCAGTCCTTAAGGGAACTATATCTACAAGGAGGGGGCTACGCAGTGGGGTGCTTCAAGGTTCTGTCTTAGGCCCAGTACCGTTCAACATCTTAACAAATTATCTAGAGGAGATTGAAGCTCATCAGATTTGCAGATGACACCAAAACTGGTGGGAATTGCTAATACTTTAGAAGATAGACTCAAGATTCAGAAGAGTCTTGACAGACTGGAGCATTTGGGATGCAGTTCAGTGGTGAGTAAAGTAAGCTGCTGCACTTAGGTAGGAAAACCCAAATGCATAGGTACAGAATAGGGCTCAACAGTAGCAACTCTCTTGGAGTCCTACAGGACCACCACTTAAGTATGACCCAGCAGTGTTTGGCAGCTGCCGAAAAAGCCAATGCAGTCGTGGGATGCATCTGTAGAAGAATAGCATCAAAATCATGAAAAATGATAGTACCACTCTATACTACACTGGTGAGGCCACACTTGGAAGACTCCATACAGTTCCAGTCACAAAAAGGATGCTGAGTCCCTAGAAAGCATGCAGAGATGATAAAGATAACAAAGATGATAAAGGGTATGGAGGCTAAATCATACGATGAACAGTTGAGGGAGCTTGGTATGTTTAGCCTATCAAAGAGAAGGATTGGGGGGGCATGATAGCTGTCTTCTGGTACTTGAGAGGCTTCACAAAGAAGAGGGGATTGCCTTATTCTCTAAGGCACCAGAAGTAGTGGGTGGAAACTTGTTAAAGAAATCCAACCTAGAAGTAAGGAGAATTTTTTTGACAGTGAGAACAATTAACCAATAGAATAGCTTTCAAAGTTTTCAAAAACCATTTGACTGAGATAGTATAGGGTCTCCTGCCTTGAGCAGGGGGTTGAACTAGAAGACCTCTGATGTCCTTTCCAGCCCTAGGATTCTATGTTATATGCTTCCCTTCCAGCCTATATGCAGGCTATTCCATTATTCTGTGCTTCTTCTACAGCAGGGGTAGGCAACCTTGGCTCTTTTATGACTCATAGACTTCAACTTCCAGAATTCCTGAGCCAGCCATGCTGAGGGGAAAGGGAGAGTTTCCAAGCTGAGCCATGTTGGCTCAGGAATTCTGGGAGTTGAAGTCCACAAGTCATAAAAGAGCCAAGGTTGCCTACCCCTGTTCTAGAGCACCTCAAGAAAGGAGGGGCACCTTGAGAAGTGATGCTGGAGGCTCACCTGTTCCATGCCTTGGCTGATGGCTGGAAGTGGAAGGGGGAACCCTCTAGTACCCCAGAGCCTCCCTGTCTGTGCTTCTCCCACTCCCCATAAGGTGTGGACAGACTTCCCATGTCCCAAATGCTCTTTAGACTAAACCTGATGGCAGCATCAACCAGGCCTGAGTGACCCTTCAGAATTCAGGACCAGAATTCCCTGTCAGGGCACATTGCAACACAGATCTTAAAGATCAAGCTTGGTTGCGCTGTGGGTATTCCTCATTCTTTTGTTTCAGGTTAAAATGGCATTGGGGAGTTTGTTAGAATCCAGCCTGGTGTGAGCCAAACCCTCTGATTATGTCAGAATCCTTTTCTTTGCAAATAGAAAACATATGCTGTATGGTTGTCAGAATGGGGTCTCATTAGCCTCATTTTAGTTACAGATGTATATGTCACTTCAGCCAGCCAGCCAGCTAGTTCTGTCCATATTATTTGAATGTTGACACTTTTTTTGATTGAACCGTGGGCCAGACAGGCATAAAGAAATCAAACCCTGCTCCAGGCAGCAACAGTAGAAACAGGGAGGCCCAGTTGTTCTGGCTGCTTTGTGCTTCCCATGAAGACTGTTTTTGCCAGTCCCAGGGGGGAGGGGCTCCTGCCTACTGTAGCTGAATGTTGTGGGCCTGAGTCTAAGCCAGGCATATGAAGCTCAAAGCAAAAGGCGATCTGAGGACAGACTGTCTTTTCTTCCAGTTTGCCCAGTGTAAATGAGCCTCAGAGGAGAATCTCCCTAGCTGTGGGATCCTTGCTGCTTGGCTATTTGCTTGCAGACATTTCATGAAGACGCATCACCATTGCTCTGTCCACATGAGTGCCCTGGTGGTGTTTCCTAATCGGGTCGTGGAATATCTGCAAGCAGGCCTGCACACAACCAAGCTCAGAGAACACTAAGGATGTGACCGTTAAGGATCCTTTCAGCTTCCCCACCCCAGACCAAAACCAATCCTTAAAACACAGCTTAAAAGCCCCCCACCCCAATCCACCCAGATTGCGATACAGAAGGCGGCACGTGCCTGCTCCCTCTGGCTCCAGAAAACAATGGATTCCAATTACAGGGAAGTAAGTTTCAGATTGAATTCCGGATGTATTAATTAGATATCACAATCCTAGTTGTGGCTTTTACCCAGGCCCAGAAGGGACCTGGGCCCTATGGGGGAAAACATATAGAGGAGGCAGAACACTCTTCTCTGGTGGAGCAGGGCTCCTGAGCAGGCACCTCCATCTAGCTCCAAGAAGGGGCTCCCGGATGGAGAACCTCACAGAGGCAAAGATAGCCTAGCCCTTGCACATTGACCTGCCCAATGCTTCTCTCTACACAGGTTTCTTCCAGTTTGCCATGAGATAGGGTGTGCGTGGCCACACACACACACCCCTTCCAGCAGGCTGTTTCTGCCCTTGATCCCTCTGCCAAGACTGGCAGAGGGATCAAAGGCAGAAACAGCTTGCTGGAGGGGATGTCTGTGCGCATGCGCATGCACAAGACTGGCAGAAGGTGTGGAAAGCCCACTCACCCAAGCGGACGCCCCTCCCAACGTTGGCTTTGGTCTTCTGCCTGCTAGGCTGGTGATGTCATCCATGCTGCCTCTGTCAGAAAAGAACAGGCCCTGCCTCCCGCCCAGATAATCTGGGGCAGCTAGTGTTGTGTGGAAGTGTTTCAAGGTGGGGAGGGAATAGACAGCTCAGAGGAGTTGAGTAGGTTTGCAATAGTGGTGAATATCTGTAATAGCTGTAGCTCGGGTGTAGGATGAGGATGAACGTTTGTTCTCCGAGCATGAGAGAGAACCTTCACCCTCAGTTGAGCAAGTGCTTGGCCACCCCAGAAGATGGCAGGCCAGGAGCCCCCTCCCCCGCAACTGGAGGCTGCGTCCTCAGAAAGGCCATTTCCTGGATCAGTAGCTGAGCACCTCTTGCTGCAAATACGGTGTGCAAGGGCCCTGGAACCTCTTCTACAAGGCAGGCCTAGTAGGCGGAAGAGTCATTTCTTGTGGGGAGGGCATAAGTGTAAGATAAGATAAGATAACCTTTATTGTCATTTTTTTTTTACTGTGGGCACAACGGCACACATCAAAAATGAAATTTAGTTGCCCGCTCTCAAAGTCAAACATACACATGACACACACCAAAACATACTATGCACAACATATGTATAGACCAGTGATGGCAAACCTTTTAGAGACCGAGTGCCCAAACTGCAACCCAAAACCCACTTATGCATCGTCGGGTGTCGGGTGGGTGTGGCCCATTGGGTGGGCGTGGCCAATTGGGTGGGCGTGGCTGTGGTGGTAACGGCAGACTGGGTGGAACTAAAAAGTTCAATCAATCAATTCCAACTTTGCAAGATCTTTTTTTTCCCACGAGAAGTTGAAATTGACTGATTGATTGAACCCTTTTTTTTTTTTTGCACACGGCGGCAGAGGCCTAAAGCGAAAAGGTTTTATAAAACCCAGCTGAAGGGCTAGGACTGGGGCAATGGCGCGCGTGCCCACAGAGAGGGCTCTGAGTGCCGCCTCTGGCACCCGTATGCCATAGGTTTGCCACCACTGGTATAGACCCACACCCCTACATATACATAGCAAATAAATATTAAATACTGTCCATCTTGAATATGTAACGGAAGGAGGAAGCTTGAGTGTTCACAAGGTTAAAGCTGTATGGAATGAAACTATGGCTGAATCTGGATGTTCTGCTACGGATACCACAAAGCCCTCTTCCCCCAAAAGATAGCAAGGAAAATAGGCCGTGAAGAGGATGTGTAGTGTCCCAGATAATCTTACGAACCCTGCTCAGGCAACGCTTCTGTGCTATGTCCTGGATGGGAGGGAGGGAACTGCCAATGATCTTTTCAGCCATTCTCACCACTCTCTGCACCGCCTTCCTGTCTGAAGCAGTGATGCTTCCAAACCAGACTCTGATGCTGCATGACAGGATGCTCTCGATCGTCCCCCTGTAGAAAGTGGTCAGGACAGGGGAAGGAAGATGTGCTTTTCTCATGTGACACAGAAAATGCAGGCACTGCTGTGCCTGCTTCACCAGTTTCTCACTGTTGAGCAACCAAACCAGCCTGCTCATTAACTGCACACCCAGGAATTTGATGCTGTGTGCTTGCTGGGGGGGGGGCAGCAAGGGAGTTGTTTGGAGACAGGAGCTTCTCCGATCTTAGGCCAGCTGAGCCTCTTGGGACGGAGACTTCCCCACACAGAACGTTCTGTTGGTTTGCCTTGGAAGCAAGACAAACCCAATTTGCAGGGGCGGAAAGCACCTAAATGCGTCTTGGGCCCGCGCTCGGGAGGCGCCTGGCTTATCTTCAGTTACCAGAGGCTCTCCAGGCCTGTGGGATGGGTGGATGTAAGGAAGGGAGCTGGGGATGGGTGGGCGGGTGTCGCTCTGGGACAGAGATGCAGGGAGCGTGTGTAGGGGGGTGTGTCTCTGCAGAGCAAGAGCAATCCCGGCCCACTGGGGAACCGGGTGACAGCTGCTCCCTCGTGGCTTGGACTGGCTTCGTGCACCTGCCCTGCCCAGCAGCTTCCAATCACAGTCCACCCTTCCTCTCTTTCCCCAGCTGGGCTATTCGTGACTGACTACTTCACCCGGACACCTCGCAAGCTGAATGCCTTCCGCTCCTTCACCAGCCTGGAGCTCTTCCATTTCCGCATCCCAGAGGACACTGCGGTGGCCGTCTGGAACCTGGTCACCTTCAAAGAGCAGGGCGGCACCCTCGGCGACCGATGCCCGGACAGGAGCATCACCGTGTGAGTGGAGGCGGGGCTGTTTGTCCTGGCTGCGGGGCTTCCCAGGCTGGGTTCTCACCGGGACTGGGCTGCAGCCTCTGGCAAAGCTGTAGCGCTCCTGTTTCTGGGGGGGGGGGCTGTTCCCTTAACCTTTAACCGCTCCTCCTGCCTTCAGAGGAATGGGTGGGAGGGCGTTTGCAGGGTTTGTGGGTCGCACCAAGCTTTAGGCTCTGAGCATTGTCAGCCGCTTTGAGACTTAAGAAGACTCATGGGAAACCAAAAACTTTGCACTGGGGGGGGAGGAAAGAGGTGTTTTTGTATTAATAATATGTTCATTTGTGGGGCAGATTAGATGAAGGCAGATTCAGCCCTGCCATCGTCTGCAGCCTCACAAAGTGCCAGGGTTATTGGGCAGGGGAAAACTTCCCAGGCCCAAAGTAGAGACCTGGGTTCCCATCCTGGCAGACAAATGTGAGCTCCCCAGTTCCCTCCTCCTCTTGCAGCCCCCTCCCATGAGCCCCCACTCCCTCAACTCAGCACCCAGGCCCTCCTGTCTCTGACTCTTGCCTTTGTCTCGCTGGGCAGGTACTTCCGCTCAGGAGCGCCACCAGTCATTAACCCACTGGGCATGCACTTCCCCAGGGACACAGCTGTGCCCGGCTCCTTTGCCCTCACACTCACCTGGACGCTGCCCAACAGGACCACTGGGGTCTTCAACATCACCAGCCCCCTGCCCGGGGACTGGTTCCTGGCTGCCCATTTGCCCAGAGAGCAGGGCAAGATCTCTGTCAAGGTGAGTGCGGGTTTCTCCGGCTGCAGGAGAGTGGCAGATCCCTGGGGGATCTGGTGGAGCCAGTCCCAACGGCAGGTAATCCGCTGCACTGGGCAGGGATGATGGGGGTTGTGGCCTAATTCATGCCACCCGAGGAATGAAAAAGGCCAAAGAAGATGCAAGGCTTATAAACCCCCCTCCATAAAAATTTCCTGGGGAGGGAGAAGTCCCAGGAGATGGCTGGGTTGACTCTTCTGTGGGAAGAAGCCTTGGTCAGGACAGGGGCAGTCGGTACACAGCTGAACTCCCTGGTGCACTCGATTCACACCTCCATGGGGACAGCCCAGAAGGGGTTATTATGTAAAGAGTTCCTTGTAGGGGAAGAAGCCACATGGAGGGCATTTGCATCACACCTGTCTCGAGGGCAGCACCAGCCCCTCTCTCTTGGGAGAGGCTCATGCAACAGCCTCAGTCCTTCCTGCAAGGCTGGATATATGGACGGGGAACAGGTGGATTGGACTAGGGCAGGCATAGGCAACCTTGGCTCTTTTATGACTCGTGGACTTCAATTCCCAGAATTCCTCAGCCAGCATAGCTGGCTCAGGAATTCTGGGAGTGGAAGTCCACGAGTCATAAAAGAGCCAAGGTTGCCTACTCCTGGGCTAGGGGCTTCTGACACGGCCCGCTTCCCCCTACAGGGACTTGCAGAGGACTGCCAGTATCTCTTCCAGCCCCAGCTGATCGTTCAACGGCTGGTGGGCATTGGTGTGCTGCACCCAGGCTATGAGACTGACCACGTCATCTCCCCCCACAATCGGTCCCTGCTCTACAAGTGAGTGTCATGGTCAAGGAACGGGGCTTCTCTTGTGGTGTGGGAGGCCGGCATTCTGCGGGGGGAGGTAGCAGAAGGGAATAATGAAGTAAGGGCTGCAGGATCTGCTCCTTCCCACCCCATAAAACGTCCTTCTTCGACTCTTCCCCATGTGCCCTTGGCTGAGGGAGCTCGGGAGATGTTTCCAAGAAACTTGAATGAAGGAGGCCCCCACTGGTCTAGCCGGAGTCCCCAGTGATGCCCCGGCAGACCCCAGTGAGGGCACCAAGTTCACACATGGCTCCCAATTCAAAAATGCTCACCTGGGAAGACAACCGTTTTGGGTCCGGACTCCACTTTATAGGCAGCAGGAGGCATGCTGGGAAAGTCATGGCATTACTGGGTGGCAGGGGAGACCAGGGGTCTATGGAAAGAATGAAGGTCAAAGAAGAGGGAGGCCTCCCTTCCCCCAATGCTCCAAATTTGCAGAAAAGGCCGGCTGAAAGATTGGCTAACCTACCCTGGATCTCCTCTGGGAGGGGCAGTCAAATGCCAGAGATGGCCAGTTGCCCATCCTTATAGGAGCCACGGAAGACATGGGGCAATGAGCTTCCTTTGCCCATAGGGTCTTCGTTCCCAGCTACACCTCCAGGGTGCTTGTGCAGCTGCGAAACTGTCACAGAGGCAACCAGAGTGCATCAGGCTGCCCACTGGGGCTGAAAGTGCGTGGCAAGGCCCCCCCTCTGCACAATTCCACAGCCATGGACTGCCGGGAGCAGCTGCCCTGCCGCCTTGTGCTGGAGCACCCCTTCTGGCAAAACTGGTACTTCATCCTGGTGGAGAAGCTTCTGCCGCTGCCAGACCGGATCAGTTTCCAGCTGGTGGTGCAGCTGAAGGGTGAGTTGGCCCACAAGAGATGGGGCTCCTGGGGTGGAAAGCACCGGCTTCATGCCTTGAGTGATACGTAGGAATGTGGCAGGAAATGGGCAGAGGTGGCTGTGCAGAACTGGTCTTGGGAGACTTTGTAGAACTGAGCAAGCCCACCTAGCGGGATGTGTTTCCCCTGAGCTCAGGTTCCCAGGTCGTCATCTAGGGCTCATCCATTCCCTCTGCCCTCCCACTCACAGTCAGGGGTGGAAAACAAGGTGAGCTTGAGGGTGGCATCTCATTCTTTCCTCTGCTGGGAGAAACTGGAGGGGGCAGCTGACTGCCCTTGTCTCCTGCAGAGGTGGGCAGAAAAGGTCTGAGCAGTGGGAGAGGGGTGCTGCTCCTCTGGCATGGACAAGTGGGAAAGCACTTACTACCCCCCACCTCCCAGGTCAGGCCAAGCAGCTTCAAGTGGGGGTGCCTGATGGGGAGGGAGGGGAGCCCTGAAGTCCCAGAGATCTCTGCCCCTTATGTGAAGAAGACCCCTCAGCAGAAAGTTCCACTGGGACTAGATCCGGGAACCCAAAGAGGGTCTCCTGGAGGAGAACAAGGGAGGCCCAAGGCTAGGCTATCGAGGGGGGGAGGGCTACTGGTCTGAGGGGCTGTTGGATGGGCCACGATCCAAATGCCCCCCTTCCTGTCTTTGCAGACTGTTCCCGGACTGGCTTGGGTGAAGCCCAGCTACCTGCCTCCCACCTGAACATGCCTCACTCCTTCGGCTCCACCGGAGGGCTGGCCCTGGCAGACATCCTGCCCCCCTCCCTCCCCAGCAGCTTCCAGCCACAAGCCACTCCCACACCCCACAGGCCTCCCAGAGGGGGGGATCACTGCTGGCCCACCCGGCCCACTCTGCGCAATGAGTTGGACACTTTCTCAGTGCACTTTTACATCTTCTTTGGGCCCAACGTGTCGGTGCCCCCTGACCGGCCAGCTGTCTTTGCCATCAACCTCCTGCCTGTGCTGGACAGCGGAGGGATCCTCAACCTGGAGCTGAAGCTGAACGTGGTGCGTCCGGGCCAGATCTTTCGGCATGTGTAAGGGGGCGGCTCAACAGTGGTCACTGGCTGTGGGGCAGAGGTGCAGAAGCTGGGTGGCCAGGGGGTGGGGGCCTGGTGCCCGGGTGCAGGCAGGACTGGAGAGACGGCCTCCATGACTGACTTCTTCCAACCACCCTCTGCCCCAAAGAGGACCCCCAAGGCCGCAAGGGGGCAGACCTGAATGTGGGAACAAGAGGAGACATTGTACGGGATGATAATGCAGACTCGTGTCTCTTCCTTTAGTCTTCTCTGCGCGGGGAGAATGCCACCATCTTTGCGTGTCTGAACCACGAAGTGCCTTTGGTGTCAGAAGGGGACTCCTCGGTGACCTGCCAGACAGGTAAGGCCAGCACCTCCCCTGCATCTGCAGTGACCAGCAGGGACTCTCCTTGCAGAGGGCTTTTGCTGCACAACTGGTGGGCTGGCCCTCGCAAGGCCGCTGAGCTGGCCTCAGCCGCTTCTTCTACTTGGCAGAGCTGCTGGCTGGGTTCCTGCTGTCCATAAATGCCGCCTCCCCCTTCACCCGACTGCGGATTCCCTACCCCCAGACGGGCAGCTGGTACCTGAGTCTGCGCTCGCTCTGCACCACGGACCGAAGGTAAGTCAGCCTGGCCGGGCATCCCCCCAAGGAGCAGCAGAAAACAGAGAAGGTAACCACAGTTCTGCCTGCTGCTTGGGATGGTCCCAGTCCATACTCGGAGCTGGTGGTGAAAGACCCTCCCTGTCTGGGAAAATGGCTGGTAGGGCCACCCTCATGCCTGGCAGCTGGGAGAAAACTACTCTCAGTAAAGGAGAAACAATCTGAGAGGTTAACTCTGTGGTGGCGAACCTATGGCACGCGTGCCACAGGTGGCACGCAGAGCCCTCTTTGCGGGCATGCGTGCCGTCACCCCAGCCCTAGGCCTTCAGCTAGGTTTTATAAAACCTTTTCGCTTTAGGCCTCCTTTAGGCCTCCTTCTTGCGGGGAAAAAAAAGATCTTGCAAAGTTGGAATTGATTGATTGAACTTTTTAGTCCCACCCAGGCTGCCGTTACCACCGCAGCCATGCTCACCCAACAGACCACACCCACCCAATGGGCCGTGCCCACCCGGCACCCAATGATACATGTGGGTTTGGGGTTGCAGTTTGGGCACTCGGTCTCTAAAAGGTTCGCCATCACTGGGTTAACTTTTCTGTTTGCCATCTATATTATGCAAGTTAAAATGGCTAAATGGCTAAAATGAAAAGGATGCAGACTGCTTTGAAGGAGTGACGGAATCTGCACCATAGAAACTTTCCAGAACACCCCACTATGATGTGGGTGATGTGACAGTCAGGGCGGGAGGCGGCCCAGCTCCTATGGGCCTCTCTGTGGGGCTACCAGGGAGGGGTTCAGCTGTGGGGGGAGAGCCTGATGCCCTTGTCTAGCAGGAGGCAGCTGTGCAGAGGCAGCAGAAGCTGCTGGGAGTTCTCACACAGTAAGGGTGTTAGGCTGGTGTACCCCTGGTCAAAATAGAATCCGAGCCAGAAAGGTATATTAATATCTTTTATTTATGCATAAGCAAGGGATAGGTCTCCCACTGGCACAAGGTGGAAAGACCCTTAGGAAAGGGGGAAAAATGAGTTTACATACACTTCAAACATATTGGGTTTGGAATGTGTTCTTCAATTGGAACAGCATCATATCAAGCATCTATATATGCCCAGCAACTATATATGTATCATGTAACAATTCATGTTCTGGATCGTATAGCTCTATGTAACCCTAACTAGAGAGCTTGTATCAGTATGTTAGAATATCTGGCATTTATTGGGTTAAGTGCTGTTTCCTTAAGAGATGGATTATGGGAAATGTAGTTTAGTTAGTCAGTCATCCCATGTTAACAGGTCAGTAGTAGTAGGAGCCTCTGAGCTCTTCTCAGGACATACTGGCTACGTGCCCAGTTTGGAATGCCTTTGTTCATCCAGCCTCATGTCTCCTAGCCACACGGCTTGGAGGTCCTATGCCAACATGTGATGCTTATGCAGAAGAAGAGGGGGAAATCCATTATCAAATTCTTAGCAAGAGCTCGTTAATAACTAATTGACCACTCAAGAGGTGTGATTTCACCATTATAATGAACTTTTGAGTTACTAGAGTTCACTTTTCTAAACAATTATCCAAATTCTATATTCCACACAAACAATTTCTTCTTTCTTTAAAGAAACTGAAAATATTAATCAAGAGCACGCCTTATTACCCAAAGAGGCCTCTTTTTCGCACCCATCAGTGGGGAGTCTGGTAGTTCTTGGGTGACCCCCCACACACCAGGAAGAGACTCTGGATCCCCCCCCCAGCTAGCCCCCCTCACTAGGCCCAGCCCCACAAGCTCAGGCTTGGCTTGGCTCCTCTTCCACCAACTGGCTGGGCACTTTCTCACTCCTGTATGGCTGGGGCTGGGCGCCTGGTCTCAAGCAGCAGATGGGATGCTGTTAGGATGCTCCCTCCTGACCTGGCCTACCTCCCTGCAGGCCCTCGTCCTGTGGGAACCTGACCGCTGAGGTGTACCTGCGTGCTTTCCTCTCCCCCTGCATCAACGACTGCGGCCCCTATGGCCAGTGCAAGCTTCTGCGCACCAACAACTATCTATATGCAGCCTGCGAGTGCAAAGCGGGTGAGTGGGCAGTGGACAGGCTGTGGGGGGGGGCTCCATTCGCACCTTTCTCCATCTCCAGGTTGCTGCTCTTCTGATTTGAAATACGGTGGGGAGAGCACACCCTCTGGGGGGGTTGACCCTGATGCCAGTTCTTGCCCGCAGGCTGGAGCGGCTGGGGCTGCACCGACAATGCAGCTGCCTTCTCCTACGGCTTCCAGCTGCTCTCCACCCTCCTCCTGTGCTTGAGCAACCTCATGTTCGTCCCACCGGTGGCCATTGCGGTGCAGACCGGCTATCTGCTGGAGGCAGCCATCTACATCTTCACCATGTTCTTCTCCACGGTGAGGGCTGCCAGGATGGACCCCCCCCCAAGAGAGAAGTGGGAGGGGAGGGCATGAAGGTCGCCTGGAATCTGTGGTCACCCGGGGTGGAGGGAGGTTCTGCTCTGTCCTTCATACTGCCCGCTCTGATGTGCAAACTTATCTAAAGCGGGTTGCTGTCCCAGTGGCTTTACGCCTGGGATTGGCCAGCCACTCAGGCTCCTGGGTGGAAGAAGAGGGGCCGCCCACCCGTTCTAGTTCCCGGTGACCCACTTAGTTGGATGAGCCCCAAGGAGCTCTGTTGCCCTCTTGGCCAGAGAGAGACTCGACTCTTCCTGGCAAAGTGAAAAGTCTCCCCAGCACCCCTCCTTCCCCCAACAGCCACAATGGCCGGTCCAGCTGCCCAGCAAGCCAGAAAAGGTGCTTCCTTCTCCCCCATGGTGCAACTCTGAGTCCTGGGGAGGGTCTCTCTTCCCTCCCTCCACCTGGCCCAAGATCCAGTGGGTCACCGATGAAGAAGCCAGACTCTCCTGCAAGGCCTCAGCCCCTCCCTGAGCTGGAGCCTCCTGCTTGATGCAGTCTATGGGGGTCTCGCCCAGAAGGGAGCCACCAAGAGCTAGACCACCTGGCCAAGTTGCAGGGCGAGGAGGGGAAGCCAGGCTGCTGGAAGGGCTGCCCCGGGTGGAGTCAAGCTATCAGTCCTCCTCTTGATGGAGTGACTCCCTTCTGTCTCTGCCAGTTCTACCATGCGTGTGACCAGCCGGGTATCGTGGTCTTCTGCATCATGGACTATGACGTGCTGCAGTTCTGCGACTTCTTGGGCTCCCTCATGTCTGTCTGGGTCACCGTCATCGCCATGGCTCGCCTACAGCCCATCATCAAACAGGTAGAGAGAAGGGGGCAGGGCTACTGAAAGAAGCAGCTGGGACCCCAGGCTGGAAAAAGGCGGGCCCTGGGAATTGAGCTGGCAGTGCACTACTGAGCCCTGGGCAGGGGAAATGGCGGGCAGGAGCCTGAAAGAGTCTGGGGCAGCAGCAACCCCTGACTCCTCCCCACAGGTGTATCCCAGCCCAGTCCTGGCAGATTCTGGGCAGAGAACACAACAAAAGCTACACAACGCCTTGCAGGACGATGTCTCACCCATGGAAATAGGGACCAGCTCGGCAAAGCATCAGGGTGCCAGGGCTGCCCTCTGGCCCAGAGGCAGGCGGGGAGGCCAGAGATTGCTTCCTAGAAAGGTTCAACAAGGCCCTCTCAGATCAGCCTCCCTCACAGGGTTGTTGTACAGGAAAGAGGGATCCCTAGGGATGCCGCCCGGGGTCACGTAGGAAAGGCAAGAAATTGTCACCACCTCAACTTTGACTCCCCCCTTTCCCGGCCTGAGAGTAAATGAATGCACTGGGGGATCTCCCTCTTCCTGCACTGTTGTGGGGAATAGACCCCACCTTCACCCAGGATCAGAAGGTGCTGTGGGGCCCTCCTCCCCTTCCTGAAGGCTCAGGGGAGCCCCAGCATCCATAAAGCTCAGGCAGGTGAGGAGAAGCGGTGAGCCTGGCATACCGGCAAGGTAGCCCCAGAGAAGATCCAGGGGTGCTGCTGCTGGCCCCTTGTGGGGCTCAGGGCTGGCTTGCTGGGCTAACTCTTCTGCTGCAGGGAGGGCTGGGGAGAAGGCTGATTGGGGACAGATGGTGAAGAGAGGGCTCAGGAGGCCAGAACAGGCAGAGCACGGGGACCACTCTGCCTGGCTGTCCTGTGGCCTCTGACCCAGCAGACTGACCCTCCCCCCCATGAGGAACTCACTGGGCTTCTCCCCTGAGCAGGTGCTGTACCTGCTGGGAGCCATGCTCCTCTCCATGGCCCTGCAGCTGGACCGGCACGGCCTCTGGAACCTGCTGGGGCCCAGCCTCTTCGCCGTGGGTGTCATGGCCATTGCTTGGGTAAGGACCTTGGGCCCTTGACTCCCTCCCCTACCTTGAGACCCTGGCTGGGCTGCTTGGGCCAGAGGCTCAGCTGCCCAGCCTGGTTGTGGTGCTTCCAGATGGAAAGACCTTTGGATGCCCAGCAAGGGCCTCAAACATGTTCAGTGAATCGGAGAGCCCCTTCAACAGGCTGCCTGGCTTCTGGGGGACAGCCCCTTCCTTGTTCTGCAGGAAAGAGGAGCTGAGCACAGGGCACCTCTGCCTCCAAGCCAAGCTGCCCATGCCTGGTCCCCCAAACATGGGGGGTGGGTGGGAAGACTTGCTTTCCAGCAAGTATTCTGGCCAGGCTCCTATGGCAGGGAGCACCAAGGGGATGGCAGGACAGGGGTGGCTGGAGCTACCCAGAATGGCTGAAGGGCATGAGCAGCCGCTCCTCAGCCAGGCTGCCACCTTCTTCCCCCTGCAGACGGTTCGCAGCATCCACCGGCGCCATTGCTACCCTCCCACCTGGCAGCGCTGGACCTTCTGCCTGCTGCCCGGGGCCCTGATCGCCGCCTCAGCCGTGCTGCTCTACGCTTTCGTGGAGACGGAGGAGAACTACTTCTACATCCACAGCATCTGGCACATGCTGATCGCCGGCAGCGTGGGCTTCTTGCTGCCACCTCGGGCCAAGGCGGAGGCATCCAGGCTGGCGGGACCCCTGCCTCGCCGGAAGGGTTGCGGCTACCAGCTCTGCATCAATGAGCAGGAGGAGCTCGGCCTGGTGGACCCCGGCACTGCTGGCACTGGCGTCTCCATCACCAGCGTCTGCACCAGCTGATGCAGAGCAGCGGCCTGGGGGACTTTAGACAGACGGGCGGCCAGGATGTAGAACCCCCCAGCCGGACCACTCTTGCTTTAGCCTCTGTGCCAACCATGAAACACCCCCCCTCGGCCCAAGGACCTCCGGTGGCCGGGGGAGGGGAGACTGTCACGTGCCTACCTGCCCAGGGATGATGGAGAAGAATCTTCCTCCCAGATCACGAGGCTCCCCAACACCTTTCCCTTCCCCATCCCCCATATGCACACACTGCACTGCAAGATCATTTCTGGAGGGAGGCGGGACAGCCCCCCACTCCTGCAAGCTGAAGGCCTTCGCATCCTGAGGGGAAGGAATAACTAACTGGGGCAAAGCAGCTGCTGCTTCCAGCTTCAGAAGTCTGGGGCAGCCTGCAGAGCTGGATAGGGAAGCCCAAGCCCTGCCTGGTCTGGCCAGATCCGCACAGGAAAGCTAGTCTGCTGCCCGTGGCCCCCTGCCTGCCTGCCTGCCTGTGGGGAACAGTGTCTCCATTCCAGATGGCAGGGGAAACCCATCATGCACTCCGGCCAGAAGAACATCAGCGGCTCTGATTTTTGGCTGGGCTGGGGCCGATAAAAGTTTCTTGCTTCAGGCATGTTGAGCCAGCATCTGCTCCCCTGAGACACATATGCAGATTTCCCCAGAGGTCATCCCTGACCTGCAGAGAGCCGTCCTACTCACTGAGATCCAGATGTTGGGATAGCCAGCTCCTGCCCACACCTGAAGTCTCCTGGGCACCCTCTTTTTCCCACCTCCCAGCCGAACCTGACACAGCCCTCCAAGGAACCAGCTCCGACTGCCGGGAGCGGGAGGAGACTTCTAGGCTGACCAGTCTTTATCTGGACAGAGGGCCACCGAGTTCCTGACTTGGCCTTTCGCCAAAAGGTGCCAGCAAATCTTCATTTTTAATATAGGAAGAAGAAAGTTAGCCAATACACGAGAGAAAACTTACACTCGCTGTATTTAATTTGAATTAAATTGAAATGCACATCAAATGTCTTTTTGCTCCGGCTCTACCCGCGTTTTGGGCTAGAAGGCCCCGGCGCCTTCGAGCGGAGGGGCAGAACCGGGCAGCCTCTGGCTGAGGGACCGCCGCCCCCCACATGGAAGGGCGGGTCTCGCGTGGGACATCCCGTTTCCATCCCGGTCACGCCGGCTGTGGCTGATGGGGAGAACAGTCCGAGGCCGCTGCGCCCGATCTGGGCGACGGGGCACCGTCTCCAGCCCGAAATTCCGGGGAGGCGCCTCGGGGGACTTCAGAGTCGGTTTATTCGCTCTCCGCGCCGCCCTTCGCTGCGGCCAAAGCCGCGGCCCTTCCACGCGGGACAGGCAAGGCGGCCCGGCCCGGCCCCACCCAACCCCCCAACCGGGCTTGCCGCAGGGGCTTCCAAGACGCGACCCCCGGCCTTTCGGGCACGGGGACCACGGGAAGCGGAGCAGGTCCGCCCACCGACACGGCCCTCCGCTTTCCCCGCTCCCTTCCGCGGCCTCCCTGACCACCAGGCCGACTCGGATGCTCTATAAGGGCGCTTCTCCCAACGGGGGCGGCGCCTTCCCGGGATCCCGCCCCCTCCCTTCCCCGCTCGCGGCGGCGTCGCTGCCCCAGCGCGGTTCCGGGCCGGGCCTCCCGCCCCTTCCCGGCAGCCTCTGCGGGGACATAGTCGTTCGAAGGAGGCGTGGCAGACCCTCCCCCACCGGGAGAACGGGCGCCGGCTCGCTCGGCCCTCCCGGAAGTGGCGCACCGCCGAGGCCCCGCCCAGGCGCAGGGGCGGAGCTTGTTCCAGCGGCGCTCCCGAGCGAGGCGCCTGCTGGGAACCGTAGTCCGAGGAGCGCCATGGTGGCTGCGATGCTGCTGCTGCTGGCGGTGCTGTTGGCGGGGGCGGAGGCGGGCGGCGGGCTGTACTCGCGGGAAGCCAACCAGGCCGCCGCCGCCGCTTCCCCCTCCGCCGGGCCGCCCGCCGAGTTCCGCCTGGTGCGCCTGAACCAGCTGTGGGAGAAGGCGCAGCGCGTGAGTGTGGCGGGCCCGGGGCTCAGGCCAGGCGAGGCGGCCGACGGGCGGGTTGGGCGGCCTCCTCATCCCTCCGTCTCTCCCCCCTCCCCCCCGTCCGCAGGTGGGGCTGCCGGCGGTGCGCCTGGCCGAGCTGCACAGCGACCTGCGGCTGCAGGAGAAGGACGAGCTGAGCTGGAAGAAGCAGAAGGCCGCCGGGCTGGACGAGGACGGGGAGCGGGAGGCTCGCCTGAGGCGCCGCCTGGAGGGTGAGCAGGGGGAAGGGGAGCCCCCCAGCCTCGTTTCTGACGCTGCTTTCCCCTCCCCCCCGCTCCCCTCTTTGCCCNAGTGCAGGATGCCCATTGAAATCAGATTAACCCGGGATAAAGAGGATCCTGGGTCATTTATTTACTTATTAGTTGTTTGGTTATCGTCGTTATTTCCTGTGAGGGGGGCTCCATCTTCCAGTTAATACATTACCAGCATTAATATATTAACTCCAGGGTAGTTAATGGGTATGACGACCTAGTTACATGTTAACTGTGTTACTAGAATGTGCTGAGCGGGTTGAAAGGTGGTTTTTTCTTGAGTCCCGACCCATCCAAAGGCCTGAATCCTTTTTCACGGGCAGAATTCTCCATCTCGCCTTTTCCCATCTGGCACTTCCAGGTTTTGTCCTGCTGGCAGGCTTTTGAATTCAGTCATATCACGGATGCTTTTGGCTGTTCCCAGCTCTGGGACACATGCTTCAATAAGCCTTTCTCTTAATCATCAGATGTCTTCAAGGAAAAGCAAAGTCCAGTTGCCTCTTGAAAAAGCACCTTTGGGACAACCATAACCTGGATGACTGAGAATCTCCATAGATATTTGTCACAATACCTGTTTTGTTAAATAACAGAGTTGGAAGGGACCTTGGAGATATTCTAGTCCAACCCCCTGCTCAAGCAGGAGATCCTATACCATTCCCGACAAATGACTATCCAATCTCTTCTTAAAAACCTCCAGTGATGGAGTAGCCACAATTTCTGAAGAGAAGCTGTTCCACTGATTAATTGTTCTAACTGTCAGGAAATTTCTCCTTAGTTGTAGGTTGCTTCTCTCTTTGATTAGTTTCCATCCATTGCTTCTTGTCCTGCCTTCAGGTGTTTTGGGAATAGCTTGACTCCCTCTTCTTTGTGGCAATCCCTGAGATACTGGAACACTGGTATCATGTCACCCCTAGTCCTTCTCTTCATTCAACTAGAGTAGACACACCCAGTTCCTGCAACTGTTCTTTATATGTTTTAGCCTCCAGTCCCCTAATCATCTTTGTTGCTTTTCTCTGTACTCTTTCTAGAGTCTCAACATATTTTTTACATCATGCTGACCAAAACTGGATGCAATATTCCAAGTGTGGGCTTACTAAGGTTTTGTAAGACGGTACTAATACTTTATGTGGTCTTCATTCTATCCTTCTGTTAATTCAGACTAGATGCACAAAATTGTGTTGGCTTTTTTGGCGGCTGCTGCTGCACACTGTTGGCTCATATTTAAGCAATTGTCCCCTTGACTCCAAGGTCCCTCTCACAGTTACTGGCATTGAACCAGGTTTCACCTAGTCGGTACCTATATAATTGGTTTTTCTTACCTAAGTGTAAAACCTAGCTTTTCTCCACATTAAATTACATTTTGTTGGATAGGACCCAGTGTTCAAGTCTGTCAAAATCATTTTGGATTCTGAGCTTGTCTTCTGGGGTGTTGGCTATTCCTGCCAGCTTAGTGTCATTGCAAATTTGCTGAAGATTATGATGTACAGTAAGGGAAAAAGTATTTGATCCCCTGTTGATTTTGTACATTTGACCACTGACAAGCGTAGATTTTTGTTGTTGTTATTCTGTCATTGTTAAAATAAACCTACCATTACAATTACAGACTGATCATTTCTCTGCCGGTGGGCAAACGTACAAAATCAGCAGGGGATCAAATATTTTTTCCCCTCACTGTATTAATTGTTAGCGATGTGTTCTTAAGAAAGTTAGGAAATTTCCCTAGGTCTTTTTAAAAAAATTATTGTGCTCTGAAATTAAAATTAGGTGACCATGGGGATCATCTGGGCAAACTGTGACCCTTTGTGCCTCTGAGGCAGCTTCGTTGGAGATATTTGGCTGTCAGGAATTTTTGTCCTGATGTCTGTGATTTAAAGTCATTGTTTCTTTTTTACCTTCTGGAGGAGCCTGAACACTTCTGCATGATGGCCCTTCTGATACCCAAAGGCAGCAGTTCCCTCCCCACCTTATCTGCCCTCTTCTCCACTCTTAATGCACAACTGGACTGAAACCAGTCGTTTTCTGTTTTTCCTTCCTGGCCCCTTTTCAGGTGGGACCTCTGTTTTGGGTGCTTTAGTTTGCCAAGGTCCTCCTTTCAGTGCCCTGCCCAGAACAGGCTCAGGCTTCTACTGTGGCTTGACCAAGGCAGAAGGTAGACTTCTCTCCCAGGGTCTTTGCATTCTACTTATTTGGATACATCAGGGGTCGTTTTTTTATTTTTTTTTATATGCTGATGCATTCGCTGTTGGCTTCTGTATGGCCTTTGATCCCAAAGTCGCCCAGGTCTGTTTTGCACACTGCCGTTCTGGATGAATTCCTTTTATTTATGCTCACTCCCTTGATATTTCCTGCTCAGATCAAGAATTTTGCATTTGTTCCTGCAATTTACCCAGCTGCATCTGTCCCATTTTTTCCAGCTGGTCAAAATCCTCCTTGAACGTGCAAGCCTCTCCTCAGTGTTACCGTGTGATCAGAGGAACTGCATTTTTTTTTTAAAGGCATGAACCTGTTGATCATTCATTGTTGTCAGACCTGCCACAGCTTAAGCATTAGAAACGATCCTTGGCTCCATTTGTTGAGAAAGATATAGTTTAATAGAAATCTAGCCAGAACTGAGGATCATGTGCCAAAATCCCTAAGTTCAACTTTTCACTCCCTTAACTGCCTCCCATCGCTGATCCCCCCACCACCACCCAAATCTGGATGAAGCAAGATGTTTTCACAACGGTCACTCCAAGTTTAGGTTGGTGTGCAGCTGCCTTCTTCTCTCAGCCAAGTAACCTTGAAGCAGGGTCTCGGGGAGATACAGCAATTACTTATGCTTTCCCCCAAGCATCCCTCCTCCCATCCACTGAGTCCATGGCAGACTGCCACCTAGGGTAGCGAGGCGCAAGCAAGCGTGAGGTGGCAGCAGACAATTATAGCAATTAATGTCTGACTAAAATGATCCTGAATGTGCATTTTTTTTTGTCAAAAATATGCATGTTGTTTTGCTGAATCAGACTAAAGGTCAGTCCACTCTATGCTTGGTTGGGTGGAATTTCCCAAAATACAGAAAGCACTAGATCCTCCTGACATCCCTTAATGGTCTAGTGCAGGGGTAGGCAACCTTGGCTCTTTTATGACTCGTGGACTTCAACTCCCAGAATTCCTGAGCCAGCTATGCTGAGAAGAAAGGGGGAGGTTTCCATACCGAGCCATGCTGGCTCAGGAATTCTGGGAGTTGAAGTCCACGAGTCATAAAAGAGCCAAGGTTGCCTACCCCGGGTCTGGTGGCTGCTCACTCCCAGTTTCGCAAAACCATGACATTAAATGTTAGTGACCTGTGCCAAAATCACCACCTTGTTCTTCTTTTGATCCCTCCAGTAATTATGACCAAATACGGCTTGAGTGGGAAGAAAGAGAGGCAGCAGTGGGAGACCAACCACATCAAGGAAGGCTTTGCGAAGGATGACTTGGATGACCCCCGGCTGGAGAAACTCTGGAACAAGGTCTGTCTGTCGAGCCTCAAAGCAGGGGTGGGAGTGAGGAGGGTGGAGGAGCTTAGAGGAGGGCTTTCGATTTTAATTGATTCAGAGTTTTCTTTCCTATTTCCCTAAAAGTGGGAATTTTAAAAAGTCATACTTGAGGGGACTAGACACCCAGTTGCATAGCAGGGAGAAGAAAGACCATACGTTCCTACCCCTTTTCCATTCTAAAACCTGGTTGGGTGGGATATTAAGTCCTCCTTTTTTTTAGGAGCTTATGGTACTACAATAGGGATGTCAAACTCAATTTCATTGAGGGCCGCATCAGCATTGTGGTTGCCCTCGGGGCCAGGTGGGTGTGGCCAGGTTGGGTGTGGCCTACTGGGTGGGCGTGGATGGAGTGGGTGTGGCCTATTGGGTCGGTGTGGCCAGCTCTACATCGTTCGTGTCAAGGGTGCCTGTGGAGGCCTGGGCAGGAGTGGGGACAGATCTGAGGGTCTCTGGCAGATGGGGGGGGGGGACCAGGGCAAGTGCCAAGGCATGGTCCACTGGAGGAGCCTCACTGTTCCTCTTAGGCCATGCTGGGGGGGGGGCTTGTGGAGCTAAGACTGAATGCATTTCAGCATAGATGGCCACCACAAAATTGTACATTGGCTCCCAGATGGCCTGGGCCAGGGCCAAGGCGGAGGGGGCCGTTCCCTCACTGTTTCCAGGATGGCTTCGCGGGCCGCATCCGGCCCCCGGGTCTTGTGTTTGACATGTCTGTACTACAAGGATACTCTTCCCCTCCTCCACACACACACACACATACACCCCAGTTTTATGCTCCCCAAAGGTCCGTTTGGTAAGATTGGCTGCCTATTCCCGGTCCTGGCACTTCCTGTCCTTTGTGTGCTGCAGGGACTCCGGCATGGGGCTAGTGCAGGGGTAGGCAACCTTGACTCTTATGACTTGTGGACTCCCAGAATTCCTGAGCCAGCCATGCTGAGGGAAAAGGGAGAGGTTTCCATGCTGAGCCATGCTGGCTCAGGAATTCTGGGAGTTGAAGTCCACGAGTCATAAAAGAGCCAAGGTTGCCTATCCCTGGGCTAGTGGGAGCCGATCTTACCTTTCGCAGAGTCACTTTGGACCGCTCTGGGAGACCCAGTTGGGCTGCCTCCTGCTGGCCCTGAGGAATGCCTTCCCCAGCAGCTCCTTCCGTTGCAATTAGGGGTGGGAGTGAGGCCCAGTAGCAAAATTTAAAGATTAAAGTATTAATGTTAATATTTAATTTTAATCTTAATTAACGCTAAAATATTAAACGGCTAATGTTAGATTCCCCCAGAAAATGTATCTCTCAATATCCTATGGAATAATTTTCGGAAGCGATTATTCCACCCAGCAGGGAGAGACCCATTTTTTTTTTTTTTAGCAGAGCGGGGGTGACCTTTCTGTTTTTTCCCTTGGATCTCCCTTCAAGGCCAAAAGCTCCGGGAAGTTCTCAGATGAGGAACTGGAGAAGCTGTGGAGGGAATTTCAGCACCACAAAGAGAAAGTCCACGAGTATAACATTCTGCTGGAGACCGTGAGCCGGACAGAAGGTACGGAGAGGAGCCCTCGGTGAGCTTAGGAGCTGTCTTGGGGGGGCAGCAAGGCCCCCTGAGCTGTGATAGGCAGGCTGAGTCTCGCATTAGAACACACAGGTGGTCCTCGTTTTGTTACAGATGTGACTCGCAGTTCTGTCATTCCGTGAAGCCTTCTCTAAGTGGGAAGCCAGCGACTAAGGCTGCTTGCCAGTCTGACAAGATGAATCAGTTTTGCCCTTTCGGCTTCGAGGTTGCTGCCCAGTGGGAAGAAGACCCGGGATGAGGGCACAGGGGAGCCTTTGCTCTCCTTCCTCTCCCCGCCCTCTTTGCTGAGGATTCAGGCAACCCAGACGGGGTCTTTCTCTGACGAATTGTCAGGAGTTTCTCCGTTTCTGATTCTGAACAAGAGAAGCCTGTGTTTTCTCCTCCAGCTTTGTGAATGTTTATCCAAGTGGGGTTAGTGAGGTTTCCACCCATGCTGTGAGACCGGGTTGTCTAGGCCAGGGCTTTTCAACCAGTAGTAGTACCACCTGTGGTACATTGGCACCTGGCAGGTGGTACGTGGCCATCCTAGAAAAGTGGTAGCGGGGGAGGGGAATGAGCTGAACTGGTGGCAGCACCGCACAAGCCTGAGCGAGAGATGGCTGGAGCTGCAGGGCTCAGCGGAAGCACCAGGATCAGTGCCGCTTTCCAGCTGATTGGCGCTTCTTCGGGGCTGTCAGAGCTCAGTGGAAGCACCAGGATCAACGCCAGGCTCCAGCTGGAGCTCGTCGCTGATCCTGGTGCTTCTGCTGAGCCTGAAGAAGCACCAATCTGCTGGAACGTTGCCTTATCTCCAGGGTCTTGTGATTTACATTCAGATGCGTGGCAACTGATTCATATTTATGACGGTCACAGTGTCCCAGGGTCCTGTGAAGTGACCAAAATCTGCTACAACCACCCAGCAGACGGGGGGGAATAAAAACCACATACATCCCACCCCACCTCCGCTGCCAATCCCCAACGGAAATGTTCAAACAATGAAAACCTCGAATAGGAGGAAGAACGCCACCGGGTGGGCAGGCAGGTGTCTTGCTCAGCTGTGGCTTGGGGGGCACTTTTTTCAGTGCCATTGTAACTTTGAACAGTCACTAAGCGAACTGTTGTAAGTCGAGGACTACCTGTACTTCATCACTTTTTCCTTTTGGGGGGGTCATCAAGTTTTTGACACTTTGCTAGGCGACTGGTGGTACTCGGATATTGCTGTATCCTAAAAGTGGCACAATGGGTGAAAAGGTTGAAAAGCCCTTGTCTAGGCCTTGGGTGGGCCTCAGCTTGGTGCCATTTCCTCTCCCTGCAGACGTCCACAAAAACATGATCAACCCGGTGGTGGACGAGAGCATAGCCAAGACGGAGCTGCTGCATCGCAAGCACTCGGAGCTCAAGGAGCAGCTGCACAGCATCAACCAGGGCTTCGAGCGCCTCCGCAAAGTCAGCCACCAGGGCTACGATTCCACCAGCGGTAGGTGCTCCCTCCCCCTCTGGGGCTCCCTCAGGCTAACCAGGCGGCCGGGAGGGGAAGGTGGCCAAGCACTAGGCGCAGGGACTCCCTCTTAAGTTGACCTAAGGTTCAAATGTGTGGGACTTGGCTAGAAGGGGCACCGGCTGTCTGGAGGTCCACTACATTGCGGGAGGGCCCCCGAGGAACTGTGCTTGGGTGAGGAGGTGGGCAGCGAGAGGAGCCCCAGCCCCAAGGAGAGTCTGCCGGGTTGAACATCCTTGGGAGGACCTCTGATTGGCTGGGAAAGACGAGAGGGTCTTAGCCCTTCTTCCAAGCCGGTTCTAACTACCCCTTCTCATTAGGTGGCCAAAGTACTTGAGTTTCAACTTTAGGATTTGGCCTTCTAAAGAGCAGTCAGGGTTGATCTCCTCTAGGACTGACCGATTTGATCGCCTTGCAGTCCAGGGGACTCGCAGGAGTTTTATACATAACAAATAAATATTAAATACTGTCCATCTTGAATATATAACGGAAGGAGGAGGCTTGAGAGTTCACAAGGTTAATACTGTATGGCTGAATCTGGATGTTCTGCTTCGGATACCACGAAGCCCCCTCCTCCCAGAAGGTAGCAAGGAAAACAGGCCGTGAAGAGGATGTGTAGTGTCCCAGACAATCTTGCGGGCCCTGCTCAAGCAGCGCTTCCGTGCGATGTCCTGGATGGGAGGGAGGGAGCTGCCAGTGATCTTTGATGCACACAGAGGGATAAGTAGAGTCAGCTGATGTTGTGTTCATTCCTGAAAATGTGCGTTTCTTTCCTCCTCCAGAATTTGAAGAGCCCCGTGTGATTGACTTGTGGGATTTGGCTCAGTCAACTAATTTCACAGAGAAAGAGCTTGAATCACTTCGGGTAGGCAGCCTGGGCGTATTTATAACTTCTTTTTGCTCATGCTCAGTCTTTGGAGGGAGATGCCAGCCCCCTGCCCGGACCTCTGCCCTCCAAATAGGGCAGTTCTCTCACAGACCAGGGCTGCTTATTGCCAGAGACGCCAGTGGGGCTCTCAGGGCCCTTTTCCTCAGACAGAGGGTGGGTGTAGTTGTGTCTGCTCTTTCCTCTTCCCACGGGCCCTGAAAGTGCCTGCAGACTTGGTTCATAGAATGGAGAGGGGCCATTGAACCCAGCCCCCTGTTCAGTGCAGAGTCCCACTGGAGGTGTCCCCAACAGGTGGATGTCCAGACAATGTCTTTGTCCGATGAAAGTTCTGGAACTTGTAAGTTTGCACATTTGGGGTGATCTCGGCTGACTTACTAATGTATTTTTCTCTGGCATGGTTAGGAAGTCTTCCATAACTAGATCGGCTGCCTTCTGCCTGCCCCAGCGCGCCCCCTCCCCCTGCACTCTTTGAAAAGGGCTTCAGCGGTTGGTCTGTTTGTACCTGAGACAGTTTGTGGGGTTGTATTGCTGTGCATGTGGAAGACGGCAAGTGCTGGTGTTGACTATCCCAAATTGGTCCATTAGAAGAGAAAGGCCCGTGGTTAGGCAGGCAAAAGTACACTTTACTAAAGCCAAGTGGTTACAGAAGAAGCAAAGCTGGATCTGAGGTTTTCACGCCCAAAGCATTTGATTAACATTCCCTTGTTCCCACCTTCCCCCCGGTTATCAACACGTGTCCAGGGTAACAGTCCCTGTCTTCGCGGGCTGGTTGGTTCTGCATTCCTTATGTCAAAGCTGCTAACATTGGATGTTCTTGCTCTGACAAAATATGCAGAACTGTGTGGTATTTTTAGAGTTAACTCAGAAGACGCTGGGAGGGGAGGAGAAAGAATGTATGAGTTGCAAACGGAAGAGAACCTTTGCCCTTCAACCTAATTGGAGAACCGTGAATTATGACAGCAAAATAAGGGAGGCAAAATGCTAGCAAAATAACTGCTCTGGGGTGGAGATTTCAGATCTTAGCATCCCTCTTCATGCCGTGCATGAATAAAAAGACTTTTTAGGATAAACAATGCCTGGAAGTTCTTTGAAGTGTTTCATTAGTCGGAGCCTTGACACCTTAGTGTGACCTTGGAACGGGTGGGCAGCTTGGGATGGTCCAAAGCTTAGTTTTGATTCCTCATGCTAACCCTCCCCATTGCTATGGCCGGCTGTCAGCAGGCAACGCATAGAGTAGCTGGATGGCAGCCCTGACAAGTGGCGTGACTGGCTTCGTCTGGGTGGCTGCTTGACGAGTGTCCGTTTTGATGAGGGCATATTTTGCATTGTAGGAAGAACTGAAACATTTTGAAGCCAAAGTGGAAAAGCACCACCATTATCAGAAGCAACTGGAGATCTCCCACCAGAAATTGAAGCATGTGGAAGGGACGGGGGACAAGGACCATCTCAGCCAAAACAAAGAGAAATACACCATGCTGGAAGAGAAGACGAAAGAGCTGGGCTACAAGGTGGGCAGCTGGTTTGAGGCTTCTGCCGTGGCCTTCTGCCCCTCCTCGGGGGCCAAGGAGCTGCTGCATCCTCCCCTGTCTGCTCTTGACTGGGTCTCTTGCCGGGGTTTAAGCCGAAGGAAAAAAAATCCCATAAAATCATTAAAACTAAATCAAGAATTAAAATCGGTATCACTAAACTGTCACTGAAATGTATTGAGAGGGTGGAGCAGCTATGCAGGTCTGGGGCAGGGTGGATCCAAGCCCCCTCCGTCCTGGGCCAGAGCCCCTCTGTGGCTGCCCTTAGCCAGGCGAAGCCCTTTCCCTCCAGCCCCACATTGCAAGTCGGCTTTGAGCCTGAGCTGGAAGTCCCGGGGAGGGGCTTCAACAAGAGCGAAACCAGGGCAGCGGAAGGGATGTGGCCCTGGGGGACCGATTGAGGGCCTCCTGGCAGTTACTGAGTTCGGCATCTTCCATGAAGCCCTCCAAAGGACAGAACGCTTCCCTTCCTGTGGGGTGCTCCCCAGCACCTGCCCTTCAGGAGTATGTTTCCTTAGAGCAGGCCTTTTCAACCAGTGGTACGGGTACCACCTGTGGTACATTGGCACCTGGCAGGTGGTACGCGACCATCCTAGAAAAGTGGTAGCGGGGGAGGGGAATGAGCTGAACCGGTGGCAGCACCGCACAAGCCTGAGCGAGAGATGGCTGGAGCTGCAGGGCTGTCAGGGCTCAGCGGAAGCACCCGGATCAACGCTTCTTCGGGGCTGTCAGGGCTCAGTGGAAGCGCCAGGATCGGCGCCAGGCTCCAGCTGGAGCACAGCGCTGATCCTGGTGTTTCTGCTGAGCCCAGAAGAAGCACCAATCAGCTGGAATGTTGCAGCATCGCCCAGGGTCTTGTGATTTACATTCAGATGCCTGGCAACTGATTCATATTTATGACGGTCACAGTGTCCCAGGGTCATGTGAAGTGACCGAACCTGCTGCAACCACCCAGCAGACGGGGGGAATAAAAACCAAACACACCCCACCCCACCCCCGCTGCCAATCCTCAACAGAAATGCTCCCAACAATGAAAACCTCCGACAGGAGGAAGAGCGCCGCCGGGCGCTGTTTTGCTCAGCTGTGGCTTGGGGGGCACTTTTTTCAGTGCCATTGTAACTTCGAACAGTCACTGTTGTAAGTCGAGGACTACCTGTAGTTTATCACTTTTTTCCTCTTTTTTTTTTTTTTTGGTCATCAAGTTTTTGACACCTTGCTAGGCGACCAGTGGTACTCGGATACTGCCATATCCTAAAAGTGATTACAATGGGTGAAAAGGTTGAAAAGCCCTGCCTTAGAGCACCTGCGTGGACCTTCAGAGCAAAAGAGCCAGAATTGGAAGGTTATTTACCTGAAACGCATAGCGGCCAAGCTTGCTGGGCCTCATCTGGTACAAAAGCCTGCAAGGGGCAGTGCTTTTTTTTCTTAAAAAAAAAAAAAAAAAGTGCTGGAACTCACACACGTCATACAACCCGCCTTGCCTACCCTACAAGGTTCCATCCAAAAAAGGTGCCAGAACTCCGTTCTGGGCATTCTATGGCAAAAAAAAGCCCTGGTGAGGGGCAAGGCAGCCTGGCCACTCAGCCTGCCTGCAAAGCACCGGTTGGATGTATGGTTTTCATGGAGCTGTTTTAATTTCCGGAAAGGCGGCTGGTCTGGTTAGCTCCAAGCCACGTTCGGG